TAATGACTTATCCATATTTTTTTTTACATTCTACATTGAAAACTACGTCAAAAAGGAATACTTGTTTGATCTCGATTGAAGCAGCCGTTTCCGAGAAAACATCATCCAAAGATATTCGTGCAGTTTAGGTTAATTTTCAATTTTGGCTGTTGTAGCCAAAAAGTTGGAAATCGAGGAACACGGCTTACATGTCCCTATCCTTACTTTTGAAGGTCTATTCAGTGGCAAAAAATATTAGTTGATACAGGGTGATCAAAAATCGGATGTGATTTTGGATTTTTGATCACCCTGTATCAAATAATATGTATTTTATGTCACTGAATAGACCTTAAAAAGTTAGGATAGGGACTGTAAGCCGTTTTCCTCGATTTCCAACTGTTTGGCTACAACACCCACCTGAATTTGAAAAAATGTGATTTTTGAGTAGCTGTAGATCCTTTACTATTCATATTAGATAACAAGTGTGATATATCATTGAAATCAGATTATCGAGCAGATTCTAAAAATATAAAAATATACAGGGTGTTCCATTTAAAAAACATAACTTTGATTTGGCACGGCCTTATGAAACACCCTGTCACATCGTAACTAATTTTAAAATGTGAAGCTTAAAGCTGCCTACTTTTATTATAACAGATCTACAGAGCTTCCTCACACTAATCAATCACCCTGTATACTATTTTTAGCTCTCTAAATAAAATTTAAAAATTTAGTTCCCATTTATTTATTATGAAGACCATAAGGTTTGTATTTAGCTGTTTAGAATAAAAAAGTAAAAATATGTATTTTTTTGGCGTTTTTGTGTTTCATGGATAATTTTTTTCGCTCACTGATAAAAATGTTTCTTCAGTTAAACATTATTTCTAAAAGTGTTCTGGTGCGATTCGTTGTATTGTTATTATTTTGTTTAAAATGGCTCACAATAACTACAATAATGATTACACATTCGGCGAAATGACGGACATGCACTTATGTTTTGGACTCGCTTCTGGAAATGCCAATGAAGCTCGCAGACTTTATCAGGAGCGCTTTCCAAATAGGCATCTTCCATGCGCTAAGACGTTTTCTAGATTTGACGATAGACTTCGGGAAACTGGTACATTTAAGAAAAACTCTAGTAACAGACAAAATTATGTGAGAACTCCTGCTTTGGAAGAAGCAATTTTGGATAGGGTAGCTGAAACCCCATCGACAAGTACCAGAAAAATAGCAAATGGTAAGTAATTACTTATTTATTATTTTAGCTACCCCGTACCTTATCGTATAAAACTAGTTTTTTTACTTGTTATTGCTTCTCTTACATTTCACGACTTTTCGTATCGAAAAGAGTTGCGTTATGCAGAAAAAATCTGATTTCCCAAATCAATGGATTCTCTTTCTTAACTATTCACTACACAGATTCTCTCATTTAATTTCAGAAGTGGGAGTCGGACGTAACACGGTATGGAAAGTTTTGCGTGAACAACAATTGTACCCTTACCACATTCAAAAAGTTCAGGCACTTAAAGCTACTGATTATGAGCCGCGAGTTATCTTTTCTGAATGGTTTCTTGGAAGTTGTAATCAAGATGCAATGTTTCTTAATAAAGTGCTATTTACCGATGAAGCTGGTTTCACTAGAGATGGTATAATAAATTTTCGAAATATGCATGAATGGGCTGAAGATAACCCTCACGCGGTTGTTGAACGTCACCACCAGGATAAATTTTCAATAAACGTCTGGGCTGGAGTTATTGATAATTACCTTATTGGACCATTTGTTTTGCCGAATAGGTTAAATGGAGCAGCATACAGGCTTTTTTTGGAAAATAACTTACATGAGCTTCTTGATAATATTCCGATTCAAATCAGACATAACATGTGGTTTATGCATGATGGAGCTCCACCACATTACAGCCTTGAAGCTAGACAGCACCTTAACGAAAGATTTGAGGGTAGAGTAATTGGCAGAGGTTGTCCTGTTAACTGGCCACCTCGTTCACCAGATCTAAATCCAATGGATTTTTTTGTTTGGGGTTATTTAAAATCATTGGTTTATTCCAGTCCTGTTGAAACAGTTGAAGAATTGGAAGAACGAGTTTTTCATCATTGCGAAGTTCCTAGGAATAATCCTGAAGTATTTTTTCGTGTAAGACAGTCTATGATGCGTTGGTTGCGCTTGTGTGTGGAAACCAATGGTCGCCACATTGAGCATCTGCTTTAATTTTTTTTGATTTGTTTTTTTAGAATAAATATTTTTTTAAACCGTTTCTTATTATTAAATAAAAATAGTCCCACCACGACATTTGAACTACAATTATTTAGAGAGAGCTAAAAAAGTTATTTTTATTTACGAGATTCACCGAGGTAATTTAGGAAAATTGAAAATTAAGCTAAAGTGGACGAATATCTTTGGATGATGTTTTCTCGGAAACGGCTGCTCCAATCGAGATCAAACAAGTATTCCTTTTTGACGTAGTTTTCAATGTAGAATGTAAAAAAAAATATGGATAAGTCATTACCAAAAACACAAAAAAGTTATGAATAATCAAAATTTTCAAAAAATTCCCAAGTACACCCCTGACGAAATAATTTCTTTTTGAAGGTGTCAAAAGGTCACTATTATTGATCATATTTAACAGCCAAAATTTGGTTCTTTTATTTGTTTCCATTTTTAAGAAAATTCAAAAAATCAAAATAAAAAAAATGATTTCGAGAGGCTGTTGCTCGCTTAGGGGGCACTTTAGGACATAGGTCTATAGGAACTTTTTTTCCATTTTTTGGTTAAGGAATCTGCCTGAGAATTTTGGGACACATTTTAAAGGACACCCTGTATAATAAATTAGCCAAAAATATGCAAAAAAATTAATTTCGGCAATAACAGTTAGAATTACAACAGAAGGATGGGCGTCAATATCTAATGACAGGTATCTAGCCATTACAGTGCACTTTATAGACAAAAAATTTGAGATGCATACCATATTATTAGATTGTTTTCATCAGTACAATGAAAGACATACAGCTGAAAACTTGGCAGAAAAAACCAAACGAGTTTTGAGCGAGTGGAATGTCTTTAACCACTAAAAATTTTTTTAGATAAGAGTTAACTGCTAATTTTACAAGTTAACTTACCGGATGGTTAGGGTACCAGTTACCATGAAGATTGATATTTATTATTGGTAAACTTGGAGCTTTGTGGTAGTTTTAGTCATTACTGTTATATGTCATAGCTGTTTTTCCGTTGTTTTTCAATAATATACCAGATGTTTAATGATGAAGAAGATATAGTAAATATTATTGAGGACCCCCGTCGTGATAGAGTCTTCAGAAAGAGGCCTGATCATATTAATTTATGAAGATGATGAAGAATACGTAAATAGATTTAGAACATCAAAAGCATCAACAAGGTTCCTGTTGAATTATATTGAGAATGATATAGGGTAAGTAAACAACTCATATTTTAAATCTACACAATTACAAGCTATAATTATAATTTTTTTAGAAACCATGCTTTGAGTTCTTTAACTCAGTTATTAGTAACACTAAGATTTTATGCTACTGAAAATTTTCTGATAGTAGTTGGTGATTTTGGGGGCATTCATAAATCAACAATCATCTCTTTACGGGCACCTATTTTCATTAAAATGTCTACAACGAAGCAAGAATTAATTTCTACAAAAGCGGAAATATATGGTTTTGCTAGGTTTCCAAATTGTACTGAAGCTATTGATTGTACTCATGTTAAGATTCAATCACCAGGGTAAGCAATTTTTAGTAAATAATAATTATATGCATACAAAAATATTGATTATAGGTGTTCATAATGCTAAACACTTCCGAAACACTTCCAGACAGTGTCAGATGCTAATTTAAAAATAAATAATATTGGGGCCAGGTGCCTTTGTCGACAGAACAATTTTTGACAACTCACGACTTTAAGCAAAAACGATTTGGTGACAGCTATTTAGCGAGCAACAGTGAGTATACACTGAGTAGATATTTAATGATTCTACTAGACAACCCTCAAACACAAACAGAAATTCTGTATATTGAATCGCAAATGAGAACACGAAATGTAGTAGAGAGACAATATGGGGTTTGGAAGCGAAGGTTTCCTATCTTAAAATTAACACTTCGTTTAAAATTACAGGTACTCGATTCACGGTAATAACTGGCCATTTTTCGCTAAAATAGCTCTTTAAGATAAAGGATCCTGTTGGAAGGATATGTCGCTGGAGTATGAGACTCCAACAGTATGACTTCGACCTAATCCACCGGAAAGGTAAAGACCATGTCCTACCAGACACTTTGTCTCGATCGGTACCAATGGTAAATACCATTACTGACGAAGCACCATCAAATAACTCCTCCGATTCGCCGAGTAAGGACAAATGGTACAATGGCATGTTAAAGAAGTAGATCAATATGGCAGAAAATTTTACCGCTAGAAAGCAAAGAGATCGATATGATTTTAGATCGGGAAACCGATCTTTTAACCACAATGAGATTATTGAGAATCAGGGCGATGTGATTTCGCGTGGAAGACGATCGTTCAGATGCCCCCCGTTGTGGAGGAAGAGGACGTCAATCGTATAATAAACAGAGAGTAGAAGAGTTCCGCACAGGCCTTTAATCACAGAAAATGACTTAGCCGAAGATTTAAGAAAGAAGTTGTTCCCAGGTGTAAAGAATAGAATGAAAAAATAGAAGCTGTTCAAACTTTAAAAGCCATTACTTTATGTATTAAAACTAGAGGCTCGGATTTGGTACAGTTAGCATTTTTAGAGCACTATTTGAGTTTAACAATGTACCAGTAAGAGGTGATATCTATCAGATGTATCGCGTAAGTTTAGCAGTAGTTCAAACTAAAGTAGCGTGAGCGCAAAGAGGGATCGTCGCAATAATGAATAATGAAGACGACTATAGAATAATAAATGTACAAGAAGATCTTATTTCAGTAGTGAAAGGAGTAATCGTAATTCCGGACCATATTTCATCAATAGTGAATTCAATTGGTAAAGCACTAGAGGTGGTATCCTCATTCCACAGTCAAAGCAAGTAACCTTGGACAATCTAAGAGAAGTAGTTCTAAGTTTAGGGAATAACAACGTTCCGGTGCAATACCAAAGAAGATTTCATAGAAACAATCCAATCCCGGGAGCTATATGGGAAGGTGCTCCAGAAAACCCAATATTGCTTAATGCAGATGAGATTATCCCTGATGATTATGGTCAAGAAGAATTGACCGATGATATAGTGGACTTAAAAGTAAAGATAAATTTCTTAAATAAGAAGGGACCAAACTATTTCACGTCAGCAATAAGCCTTAGTCCTGATGGTAGTAAATCTATGTTAGTATGTAACGAACAAGAGTACTTAAAAGTATTAGATAGAAATCCTGGGGAAGATATTTTGAGATATTATGATAGGCTTAAATTAACAGGGGATATTACTGAATTTTACAATATAGAAAAATTAACCCCAATAGAACAAATATATGGTACCCTGAGTTTACTTGGTGAGAAAGCCAGGTCGAGATAAACGCGTTTGCTGTGAATGCTCAATTATTAAATATAAAGCAACGCACAATATAAAGTATACTTGATCTCTTAAAAGAGGTGGTTCTGTCCGGTAATAATAGATGTTAAATTTCAGAAATAATGTAGTCTTAGTAAACAGCACACGGGAAGTAACGACCCCAGCCACCAAACACCGAAAAAAATAATTAATAAAATAGTGCAAATAGTTGCAAGAAACGAATGATGACTGAGAGTGTATGATACGATAGTTACAGGCGCGTTACACCAGAAGATAGCACTTAACGAGGCGTTTTAGACACTAATTTTAGAGAAGTTTAAAAAATAATTATCAAGACGTTAAGAGCTTAAATTTGGGGATTATAATAAGAATAGTGCTGTTGAGGAATACATTTATTTTTATTATATTTCAAAATTTAAAGCTTTAAAATATATGCATATTCTAGATATTATTGCCCAATTTATTTTGCCAAAATATTTTAAATTTTTAAAAAAATTGCTTTTTGAAATATCGTTGTTCGAAAATTATAAGGGCTGCTGTATTCACCTTAACAAAATATGCCAAAGTTTACATAATAATAAACGTTCTTTATTGAGTTACAATACCCAATAGGTCATCTCTCGAAGTCCTTCAGCTGATTTCAATGTATTTTCAAGTACTTTCAGTACGTTAAAGTTGTTAACGCCAGGGAATAAACACAACTATGTCAGATTTTAAAAGATATTAAATTAATCGAATTTTTGGGGTATGCACCTGTACACTAATGTCAATACACTTTAAAACTTGCCTATTTCTAAAAATAAAGAGTATTTGCTACCTCCATGTCTTGATGGTGTGAGAAGCTATCTTGAAATAAATCACTCTCAACTGTGACTTATTTTTCCCCACTATCACATTTAAGACTGATTTAACTTTCTTTAGTTTGGATCTTCCTAATTCTTCTTTCTGTTCTCTCTCAACGTTTGATTTTGAAGTTTATAGAACAGAATCGTCAAACATTTCCTTAAAAACTGGCAGGAAGACAGCAATTTTTTTTTAATATTCATTTCCACCTGAGAAGAGGCATCAGCAACAAAAAAAAGGTAAAATAAAAACATTCAATCAAAAAATAAATCTATATATTACCTCTAGGCAAATAATCATCTTCTTTTCAAGTACTTTGATATTGGCTTTTTAATTTTCAACTGTTGTAACCATGCATTTCTTGCATTCACAAGTTCAGAATTTGCACTTGCATTTTATAAAAAATACCCTACATGTACCAGCTTTTAGGAAGCAAACGAAATGTAAGAGAAGGGCCTTTTTTTTCAGAGCAGTATTGAGGCACATTTTAATACATATGATAAAAATTTAAATCATTAGCTTATTAATAAATAAGATATTTCAAACAAAATACTTGTTAAATTTTAAAACATTTAATGGCATGACCTACAATAAATAAAACTTGACAGAACGTCAAATGTTAAATAGTCACTATATTTAATTCATTAGTTCTCAGTAGTTCGCTTTTCTTCACACCCCAATACACACAAATCCTTACAAATGAATATTTACGAAACACGATTACTGAAAATTTATGAGATTTGACAAAACCAAAACAACCGTTGATTGTTGTTGGTCGTTCCTGTTTTTATTAACAATATAAGCTGTCATTGCTGTAAATTCTTTGTAAAAAAAGCGAGTGGGAAAATTGCAATAGATACGCCGTCAGAGGTGTACGGTAGTTGGTAACATTGGTTACTAACCCTAAGTCAGATTAATAATTGTCGAACGACCCTACTGTCACTCGTTGAATGTCAAGTGTCAATTCATGACTGATACTTGACATAGCAACCGAATACGCGGGAGATCGCTTGACAAAAATGTTATATCATTCAACTTTATATATTTAATATCTGCAATAAACAGTTCGTACCTTCCAACGTATTTTGATATACACCAACCGAACACCAGCAACACATTACAAGAGATGACAAAAAATTATGTATTTTTAGGATACTATTTTAAAATGCGGGAATTGTGGCAAACCTTTAGGTTCGATGAACAATTTAATAGATTCTAATATATTAGCTACGCATGCTTGCCTGGTGTCATTTGATAACATCGCTATAGATTATACCAACTTTACCCTTCTGGAAGATTGTAGACGTCCCCTATAGTTCAAAGATTCATTTCAACCTCCTGTGTTGGCAGACGTTCCAAAGGATTCAAATTTGTGGAGCAACCAAATGGTGAAATGATTAATAGTAGCCTATAAAACACAAAAATAAAGTTGAGTCCCCTAATTATAGGAAAAACAAGGTCCGGGCCCTGATTCTTAAATATTTATTACAGAACATTGCATACATCAGATACTATAAGTCTGAAGATTTATATTTGTAAAATTATTAACCAAAATTTATTTAAATTATGCATCTGAATATCTGTGCAAACAGAACTAGTTATATCCAGCAGTTAAAAACATTAAAAAAACAGGCCTAATCAGTTTAACGATTATAGTAATTTAAATTGAGACTTATAATATTTTAATAACCTGTGATTTGCACATAATATATAATTTATTTTTGTAATAATTATTATTGTTCACAAAAAGGGGAGAAAATAAAATATCGTTTGATTTTTAAATGTAAACAAAATTATTTTAATTAATTTGTAGATATTGAAAATGACTTAACAAAAACAGGTAACAATGTTTCTTCACGAGATGCAAATCATACTGTAGATCATTTATTTGATATTGAGAATTATGCAAAACGGTCAACAAATGTTTGCCACTACCAAATCGAGGAATCGGATCACTTATATTGTCTATCATTTAATTCAGTGGTTCAAAAACTTCATAGCATCCAAAAAAATATAAAAAAAACAACAGACTGAACAAAACAAAATCACGTCATTAAAAGATATTGTAAATAATTTAAGAGAAAGCAGCAGAATTTCTGAAAATGGCCTTGAGAGTCTTCATACTACTGCTGAATTAGATGTATTAGACTTTTTAAAAAGATTTTATAAAAATGTTAAATCTAAAAATCACAAAATTTCGAAAGCTTCCATACGCGCTTTTGCACAAACATTACATTTTCATTCACCAAAGGCCTATGAATATGTTAAACAAAAAATTTCCTGTGCACTTCCAGATTCGCGCAAAATACGTGCATGTTATTTTTTTCTATTGTTGGAGAGAACCTGATTTTACATCAGAGAGCTTCAAATTATTAATACAAACTGTTGAAAATGCTAATTCTTTAGAAAAAAAGTGTTGGTTTCTTTAATTCTTAAAAAAAAAACACCCAAAGGCTTCGAAATGGTAAGGTTTATGGCTATGTTGATAATGGTGCATGCTGAACGCTCAGACATTTTACCTTTTGCAAAGGATGCCAATTGTTTTTTTTATTTTAACGAAATCGACACTGATTCAAAAGCTGGTATTATAAGTACTGCTCTCAGTGGCCTTCATGAAGTAGAAGTTGAGGTGGTGGTTTCAGTTACATTGGATGGTCCTGCTCAACACTTTTTCACAATGAAATTTCTAGGTGTTAATTTCGATGTAGAACATCTTGTACCATATTTTCCTCATCCATTTAGTTTCAAAAATGTATGTCAATTTAGATCCATGTCATATGCTAAAATTATTTAGAAATTGCTTAGGAGGTTACAAATGTCTTCTCGATGGTGATGGAAAAGAGATTAAGAGATTAAATGTTTCATTGAAGCATTGGCACCATTACAAGATGATGGTTTGAGGGAAGACAACAGATTATCTAAACAACATGTTTCATAATAATATAAAAAGATGAAAATGAAGGTTTGTTTAGCCGCTCAGACTTACGTTCAATTGTAGCTGATGTCATCTCTTTTTGTGATAAACAATTAAGATTGCATCAATTTCATGACAGTCAACCTACTGTTAAATTCATTTAATGTATTGACCGAATCTTTGATTTCTTTAATTTCAGAAATCTGTATAGTAATCACCTTTAAGAAAAAATAACAAGTCTTTTTGACGGGATAACATTTCAAATTATATAGAGTATTTAAAAATAATAAATACTGACGTGCAAGGCAAACCTATGACAAAACAAAATGACACTCTCCATTTGTAGGTATTATTTCAGCTGTGTACTCAATAATTAGTATTTTTGATGAATATATCAAGTAAGATAACTCTCAATTACGTTATCATTTAACTTATAAATTTAGCCAATATCACATTTTCTGTACCATACGGGTTGTGGAGGGTGGTGTCTTAATCCCGCTTGTGCTCAGTTCATTTCGGCTATAAAATATTATTAGTTGGCCACCAAGTATTTGCTACAAATGGCAATGTTTCTGCACAAGATAACACAATGTTTTTGACAATTTTTTCTTCTGCTACAAAAAAACAAACTATTGATATTTTTAATCCTAAATTGTATGATGAAATGACAAATATTCGCGTTTGTAAAAAATATGGTTTAGATGATAATCGTGATGCAATTTTTTTAGACGAATTTTCAAAAAAGTTGTTAGTGTTGTCAGAATTTTCAAAAGCTTGTGTAGAGTACATAGCAGCATGGGTAGTGAGAAAACTCGTGAGCTATAACAGATCTTCTGTAAAGTGCGAACCTTGTAAATACAATACCTAGCTACAACTATCCTAAAAGTTTGAATAAGCAGAATTTTATATAAATGAAAATTTTCCTTGGTTTTATTGGTCAAATGTTTTTATTTTTATTGTTTAGCACACTACATACCGTAAACCGGGGTTACTTTGACTTTACGTTTTACTTTGACACCTTTAGGGGCTACTTTGACTTCAACGGTTTTCTCGAATTGTCGTTCGAGCGCGTGGAGGGGAACGAGCGCGCGCCAACAGGTATTATTGTAGCCACAACGGTCTCCAGTGTACCGTCTGGCGTTCACCGTAAAGTACCTTTAGAGCGTTTGTTAGTTTTTCTGTGTTTTTTAAGATTGCGCTGGCACCACTTGGGTAAGTCTATCAACATTGTTGTTTCTACAATAGT